GCTCCCCCACCCCACACCCACATCCCCCACAAACCCACAGCGCCCCCCCCCAAAAAATATACAAGAGGAAGGCTTCATTTTAAGCTATTGTGTAATCAAATTAATTAATGAAGTACAAATTTGATTTTTAGAACATAATTTGTTATTTTTCTTGTTCTAAGATGGCAAACTCCTCTGCTGAAAGGAGTACTTTTGGGGGACAAGGGGAGGGACTTCTGGTGGCAAAGGTCAGGGGTTAGGGGGTGGGACTTCCTGTCCTAAGATGACAACCAGGGGGCAGGGGGAGGCTACCTTTGCGGCCCTCAATGGCTTGCCAAAACTCGATAAGAGGCCTTCCACCCGAACTAATTGCTCACCCCTGGCTGAACTGAACATCTATTGCCAGCTTGTAGCTGTATTATTCTATGACAGGACTGCTGGACATATTACAGCAGGTTGTGATCAAAATTCTCTTTTCTTGCTAAAGAACAGATAATTGATAGGTTGCACCCCAGCATCCTAAAGTTACCTATGGTAATTCTAGGCACTAGGGTGAAATAAGTTCCCAACTCAGCTCCTTACAATATTCATTTGTAACATCTAGAATGCTATTTGAAATTAGAGTTTCATTGTATCATTCAAAGGGTCACTACCACATGGTTCTGGTTCAAATTTTATATTTTAGTACAAAATATAAATGAAAACATATACAGAAAAACATCTATATTTCAGCACAGAATATATCAAAGCCATTGTATAACTATTTTCATGCAAAGTATGTAGATTTTAATGAAAACCATTTGTTGGTATGTAATGGTTTCATGGCAAACATAATAGCATGATTCAAAGTTGAAAGAGACCAGTCCACCAGTCATCGTCTTTACTGACATATACGCAAAATGCAGATGGTAAAAAGCAAATCATATTAAGACTGAAATACCTTACTCAAAAGTTTATTTTTAAACTGCTGATTCCTCTCCAAAGGCTGTTATAGGTGTTGAATCCTTTACCAATATAAGCATCTATTTATACAATTAACTATTTTTCTTTATGAATTTGTTCGTAAATTTAAGATGGCCAGCAAAGCAGCACAAGTCCTTACATAGAAAGATACTGCCACTGGGTGTCCTATGGCAATCAGCCTGATGTGGAATTCTCCTTTATGCTATCACAGCACAGCTCACTGCTCAGCAATGCATTCAGGTGAGTTCTAGAAGGAACCATGCTTGAGGAGGTCCTCTCTCTGGATGAACGGGACATTTCCATTTCTACACCTCCAACATCATGCTCCTCCCTGTCCCCTGCCAACACAGCAACAGGAGGCATGGATTCATACCCCCTCCCCCAACCTCCTGTGGACAGCCTTGAGTAAAATCAGTTCCTGCACTCCTGACTGGCTACTGTGCACCAGAGAAAACAGGAGTTCTTTGAACCTTCTACCTGAGCTACAAGAACCCCTCATTGTAGAAACAAAACTATTTAAATCCACTCAGAAATGGACTATCCACTTTAGTCTCCTTCAGACGCACAATTTTCAAGATTATGCCATTTCAATCTATTTTAATGAAGTCTTTCAGCTGCAGCGCTGAATGGATTAATACTGAATTGATCAATATGGTGCATTTCCCATAACCTGCCTAAATTCTCACTGGTGAGAATACTGCCCCTTTTCTTTGCTTGAATTCTAAACTTCCAACCATCTGTGCCAAATTTTAACAGAATAATTTGCAAAATTAATAGCCTAAAATACTATACCACCAGATAATTATTCCTTAAAAAATTAACAGATCCTCCATCAGTCTAAAAAGGGAGGCAGATATATAGGTCCCTGCATCACTTAAGAGTTAAAGGAGAATCTATGTGGTCATCTGTGTTAGTTAACAAGAATAAATCTAACATTTTTGCAGGATAACTCATAAAGACTTTTGAAAAGTTAATGAATTACCCGGTTGCTGTGGTCGCTGACTTTGATGATTGGTTCATTTTTCCTGAGATCCCACACAGTAGCACGGCCACTAGGACTGGCAGATGCCAAGATGTGCTGGACTTGCTTGTTCCATGAGATACAGCTGATGTCTTCTAAGGGCTGTTGGAAGCAAAGCATGTCTCAACAATTACCTTTTGCAAAAAGGAACTTGAGTCTTTTTATTTTAGAACTACATTAAAAAAATATTTTAAAATTTATGCAAGAATATAAAATGTTTGTATGGATATTATTTCCAATAGAAATGTGGGTAAGTATTTTAAGGAGCGTCTCTCACCTCATCAGGTGTTTATCAAGGACTTAAATTCAAGGTAATCCTTGCAATATGCAATTTCAATTTTGCAAACAATGATTACTACTTGGAACTGATTCAATTCTGTATGTTTCCACGAGATCTCAATTCACTTAAATAATCTGCATATTTTTCAGTTAGATTCCTTTATTTCATGTGAAAAATACAAATCTAATACCTGCGTCTTAACTCCTGGTGTCATTGGCGTGGCAAAGTTGTTCAGATCCCAGATATAGATTTCAGACTCATTAGCACCCGAAGCTACAAGATTTGTCTGACAAAGAGACATACCAATAAATGTTAGAGTATTTCCAGCTTTAGCCTTTACCTTCTTAAATTTTGTACATCAGACCCTTGGAACCGTATCAATATATACAACTCAGGATGTAACTATTTATGTACTGTACAAAAAAATCCAAGGTTCCTTAAAATTTCTAGCGCTATTACTAAGGGCAATGGTCCATGCCTTCTAAAGCATACTTGTGCAGCAAACTGACATGAAAGCAGTGGAGCTGCATAAAATGACCTCACTGTGCTAGTGCCCCAGTTAAACAAACAGTTAAACAGGTGATTAACTACTTTCATATTACTAGTCCCCACTGACCTCTATGGGCCAACACATGTGAACAAAGTTAAATACATGGTTAAATGTCCATCAGATCAAGGCCTGTAAGAATATTTCCTGGATTAGAAGCAGCTTTCAAAGCCATTTTGTAGACAGACAATGAATGCCACATGAATAGCAACAGAAACTGAGAAAAATGAACTCAAGAGAATACAGTTACTTAAACAGTAGGCTTTGTTTGCACTTCAATGCTGTTGGCAAAACAAGGTCCCAAACATGTAGCACACCAGAACAGAAACAATGGGATTTAGGCAAAGCATAGTGAACAAATTATTTTCTTAGTAAAAGTAGTTCAAGAGAAAAAATAAAATGTGCTGTTTAGTAAATCAAAACAAATTAATTTGTCACAGAACAATCATGAATTAAAAAGGCTGCTGTACCTTGAAGGTAATATATGTTTACTGACAATAAATTATTAGCTTGTGGTTAAGCCTTATTATTTTCAAGAACTCTATTCTATGCAAGAAACTACGAGTTGTAGTTTCTGGGTATTTATTGAAACCAAAAATACAAGTGGCAGGGTCACAAAACTTTAAAAAGTAAATATTTACTTTTTAATGCTTCAATGGCAGCAACATTTAGGAAAAAATAAATATTTGCTGCTGACTAGGAAAACTCTGAGGCAGCAAATTAAAACTGGAAAGTAACACTGACTAGAAACATAATGAAAAGTCAGCTTCATTTCAGGGTCTAAACTGAGCAAAAAACCAGCCTAAATGCTGAGAACCAATTTGCACTTTTGAAAATCGTTCCCTTCAAATAGTTATGGTTCACTAACATATTTTATTTGAATTAAATATACAATAATATATATACACACAACAGCAATACTATCTTCAAAATTTTGCAAGGGAAATCATTTATTTTAGTATTTTATTGAGCTATGACAGTGTACATTGAATGAAAGAAGTCTCACCTGGAAAATATTAACATCCAGAGCTCTTACTGGTCCAGTATGCTTGTCTTTCTGGGCAATTATGACTTCGCTGTCTCCAGCTATAATTTTAGCTGGCTCATACAAAATAACATTTCCATTTTCACCACCTGCAATCAGAACTCCTGAAAGACTGCCATTTGAAGCCATTCGATGAGGCCCCCATATCAGCTTATGGTACCTAAAAGATACAAATTAAAACAATTTAAGAAAGTGCTCATTGACAGATTTGATGTACATCCTGTTTAACTTTTCAGACAACATAATGAAAACTCTTAAACTGGTGCAAAATCTAATGCACTGAGCAAAATAAATTGTTTTTGAAACATACTTCGTTTAAGTACTGATACTCAAATATTTTTCTTAACAAAGAATATTTTAAACATAAGGAGAAATGTTGCCAAGTGGTAAAACTAAAAGCAGAAGACTAGGGATGCCTAGGTTTTATAGGAGTCTGTAACCGACTCTCTTTAGAGCCCCTCTGTTCATCTTCTGTCCACCTCAGTACAAGACTCCAAAAACAGGTCAATGCTTAGCTAGTTCACAGAGGTTTTGAGAGAATGTTTGCAAAGAGGACCCTGAGTTAAAACTGTAAGCATGCCTAGCTACTAGAGAAATCAAATCTCTGATATTTGTCACCACTTGTTTGAGACAGATGGAGGCCCAAGGAGAAGAGTCTCCCTGATACAGAAGCTCTTCTCATCTGCATTTTTGCCATTTAAATCATCTTTTGTACTTCAGGCTCATAAAGTGGCCCAACTTGTCTGTGTATGTCAGTTTTCAAAGTCAGCACGCTGGCCAGACCCTGCAACACATTTAACAGGGGTGGGGCACGCAGACATTTTACCAGAAATGACATATGGCAAGACCCAAACACATCTCAACACTACAAATCTTAAAAAGTAAAGAGGTGTGGAGGAAAGATTTGAGTTAACTGTACAGTGATTTTCCTCCTGTGTTCTGGTCTTTGAGTATGCTTCCAAAAGTTTCAGGATGTTTCTGATAACAAAATACTTAGCAAATCTCAGTATGATCTTATTTTTTAAGGCCTCATCACTGGACCATGAACTGAACCTGTTCAGCCTTCACAAGAGAAGGCTGAGGGGGGACCTGGTGACCATCTATAAACTCACTAGGGGGGACCAGAAGGGTTTGGAAGAGACCTTGTTTCCCCTTGCGCCCCCTGGCATAACAAGGAATAACGGCCACAAGTTGCTAGAGTAGGTTTAGAATAGACATCCGTAAGAACTACTTCACAGTTAGGGCGGCTAGGATCTGGAACCAACTTCCAAGGGAAGTGGTGCTGGCTCCTACCCTGGGGGTCTTTAAGAGGAGGTTTGATGCCTACCTGGCTGGAGTCATTTGAGCCCAGTTTTATTCTTGCCCAGGCAGGGGTCAGACTTGAAGATCTACAAGGTCCCTTCCAACCCGACTTCTATGATTCTATGAAATATAGGCTGATGCATCTGTCAGCAATTGGGATATCTATTTCTTTTTTAAAATAACAAAATTTGTTGCAATATATTCCATGGGGCAGATTTAGAGACAAATACCTAGGCAATGGGCATCAGGCTCAGATTTTGAAGGCATGTAAAGGATGTCCCAAAAATCTTGAAATTGATTGAGCTGAGGGAAGCAAACTCTTTTAGGAACCTTTAAAAAAAATCTCAGGGTTTTAAACAAATGTAACCATGAAACTGAAAAAGAGCATAGTCTAAAATCCTTCTCTCAATGAAGTCAGTGGCAATTTTGCTTTTGACCACTGGCAGAAGACTGAGCAGCAACCGCATGCCATTTTGCTTCTCACAAGCTACAACACGTCAGTAATACCAGGGTCACAAGCCACAAACAAGACTTTAAGAACCCCCAGCCATATCCGCAACCAAAGCAACCTGGAAACCATAGTTCCAATAATGTACATTAAAACAACGGCTGCAGTATTCTAAAACTCATGTCCACCCTGCCACAATGACCTTAATAGTCAGGCAAAAGGCAGGGTAGAGTGGCACCTTACAGATCAACTCACTCAGAGAGGCACAAGCTGTCATCAGCAACAACTTACTGAGTCAAGATGCTATGAATGGACCTGCAGGGAGGAGAGGTTCTAAATAGAAAGCAATCATTTAAAGTTTAGGGAAGAGGGGAGGAAAGGAGAAAGGGCACTGCAAAAGTAGTAAACAAAAGCAGAACTACAGGGATATTGGGGTTACAGAAGCTAGCCCAGGTAATGGGATAAGAATCCATAGTCCCTGTTTAGATCATACTTAACACAATCCACAGTCCATGGATGATTTATTGTTCCACAATTTCACATTCAAGTCAGTTTTTACATTGATGACATCTTCATCATATGCACACATGGGAAGGAATTGCTACAGAAATTCTACCAGAACTTTAAAGACTTGCACCCCTACATCAAACTTACTATGAAATACTCTACCCAGCAAATTCATTCCTTCAATGCCACTGTGAAAGCTAAAATGACCACATCACTACTGCACAGTATTGGAAACCCACAGCCTGCTACAGCTATGTTCACAACACCAGCCTTTATCCGAAGCATACCACTAGATCCATCATCTACAGCCAAACTCTACGATACAACCATACCTGCCCAGATCCCATCAACCAGGATGCACCCATTATGGATCTGCAGCAGGGGTTTCTACACTTATAATATAATCCCCAAACCATAGCATTCAGATCAACAAAACCAGACTCAGACCCCACTCTTAACTGCCACAATGCCAACTCTATGATAAGAACAACAGAATCCTTGGGCACCTGCACATGTGCAGCAAGGCTGCTCCAATGCACTGTAATTATAGTGTGTTGGAGCAGACTTGATTAATTGAGCAGACTTTAGTGTCATGTGCATCAAAAATGTGCTGAAAAATGGGCAGGCGCACTTTAACTAAAGCTCATTTGAAAAGCATTTGTTAAAGCCCCCCGCCGACATTTTTCAGAGTGGGGGCACAGATACACATGATGCTCTGGGAACTTTAATTCTAATTAAAGCAGCTCTTCTGTGCCCCCCCACCGGGCTTGTGCATAAATGTCCCTGGTCATCACCTACAGCCCCTATCTTGAACACCAAAGACTAATGACATTCAACCCCTCCTGAAAAAACAGCAACCATCTCAAGGCAGTCCTGGGGGACACAGATTATAACACCTGCACCTCTACCAGCTATGTCATCAAGTGTTTACAGTGCTCCTCTGCTGTTGACATGGGACTGATGGAGCAAACCCCTCCATGAAAGAATGGACATCAACTTAACATCCATTCCAAAAGACACAAAGGCCTGTGGCAGAACACTTAACCTCCTTGGATAGGCCATCGCTGACCTCAGAGAAGCTGTTCTTAAATAACAAACCTTAAAAACTAACTTGAACTTGAAAACGCAGAACAAAAAAACAATCCATCCACCGACTGGAATATGTTAAGTATGGTCTAAGAAGAGATTATAGATTATCATCCTATTACATGAGCTATCTTTTATAACCCCTATACCTGTTTTTCTGCTGTGTTTATCACTGTTGCCTCTCTCAGCAGTGCCCTCTCTCCTTTCCTTCCCCCTTCCCTATCATTTAAATGAATGTTTTCTATTTAGAACCCCCACTTGCTCTGTTGGATGCTCTGAATGGGCCTGCAGCAAGCTGTTGCTGACAACACTCTCTGAATTAGTCTATAAACATGCGACTCTGCCCAGCTTCCTGCCTAACTTCTGATTAACACAGCAAACTACCTATCTCTGCCTTCATTTCTCTTATCTTCATTATGTTAATTAGCTCAAGAATCTAATCAGATTCAGGAGGTATTGCAGTAGCTGCTATAACAAGCACAGAGGAAGACATAGTTCCTTCCCTGGAAAGCTTACACTTTAAATGGTTGATGATTACTAAAATGACAAGCAATTGTGACAAGTTTAAAACTTTGTAAACCAATCTGAGCCTTTCAAGTTTTAAAATGCACCATGGAAAATAAAACAATATATTTCCAGTTATGGCATAAACTGACATTAGATGTCTACTTTATCCATCCAATGATTTGGATTTTTAAATCTCAAAACCTCACTGAGCTATAGTATTCTATAACTCTACAATAAACATCTTTCATAAAATGATGCATTCACACTGCTATCATACATAGCATACTCACTGACTGAACAACTCTCAAACGAAGTATTCCAAACACCTTCACTGACAAAGTTACTGGTCAGCAGCAGGACTAAGGTTTGTGCTGACATTGTATGTGGCATGAAAGATGCATGGATCTGATCCAATGCCAATGGAAAGTTTTCAGCTCCTTTTCTGTCGCCAAGAAGAGCCCTTCATTGCTTTCACTGACATTGTTAATTTGCAATGATCAAAAGCCACTACACAATAGTGGTGTGCCATCCCAAAAACTATTAATAGGTTGGGTTTTAGTGTTCATGATGTCCATTTTTGCTATGTATACACATGAATTTAGAAGTCACAGGGGTCTAAATGAAGTAAAATCACCAGAAACTTTCAGTGTCCAGGTTTAAGTACTGGTCTATATTTTGAATCTAATGAAAACCCATTGAGCACATTATGCAAGTTCTACAGTATTACAACACCTAAACACAATGGGATGAAGCAACATGCAGAAGCTGTAACTGTACTGTCCTACTGTTAAAAGAAATAACATATTTAATATTTTCCCTCTGCTCTCTCCAAATTCCCCAAAACTGTCATGGGATTACAGTTGTCCCTCAGTTGTACATTAACCAACACCAACCCAAGATACTAATGGACAAAAGGGAAGTGAAATGAACTCTTTACAGTCCCAGGCTACAATCCTATCCGCAAGGGCCATTCTTCCATCCTTTAAACTGCAACAGCACTCATGCAGCTACAATCTGTACAGCAAAACTCTGTTGTCTCCTGAGCAACTGAAGTCAAGAAGAGTTAAACCTCTGCACCTTGTCCTCTCCCTCCAGATGATGAACTGTAGGTTCCCATAAAGCATACATTTGTACCAAGCAGAACATAAACGTAAAAGCTCCAGTTCACACCTGTGAGAAGAGGAGAATGTAGCACAGGACTTCATATCCAGTGAAGGGTCAGACAAGTCCAGCTCAAATATTTCTAGGGAGGCACTGGTACTGAAAGTTGCATCCAACTGCTGAGCAGATGTACCTACAGAGAAACACATTATTTTAAATGATATGCATTAAAGGCACACTATTGTGTAAGAATGGAATTGCATATCATTAAAGGCATTAACAAACACAATGGGAAAATGATTCCAGATTCTAAGGTACCTACAACATGAAATGTGGGCAGGGTTTTTGGTGGGGGTTTTTTCTTATTTTTTTAAAGAGCTGAAAAGTAGTCCCAGTTTTTTCACTTTTCCCCAAATTTCCCTTGATGGTTTTAGAATCTTTAAAAGAGAGGGAGACAGCGCAACAGGGAAAGAAAAGTTTTTCTTTTCCCTGTGGTTGTTTTTGTGGGCTTTTCACACAAGAGATGTAATGGAAAAGCTGGCTGATGTTGAATAGTTTAGGCCAGGGGTTGGCAAGCTATGGCCTGTGGGCCAGATTCAGCCTATAGGGCCCTTTGATCTAGTCTGCAGACATGGGGCTTTGGCAGCTTTTGGCAGCTGGGGGTTTCAGCACCAGTAACTTTCCTCTGCCACTGCAGGAAGAAATGGTGATGATTGGCATTTTCCCTGTGCTGTTGTAGAGAAAAGCAGCAGTGGCAGCTCAGTCCTACTACCCACCTATCTGCCTACCTCTGACCCACACTAGGCAGCCTAAAGAAGTGGCAGACAGCTGGTTTGGGCTACCAAAACTACTGACTAGCCGCTAGCATTGGTAAAAACAAAGAACTATAATCTCATCAGTTGAGAAAGAGGAGCTTTGAAATACAGGAATCAAGGTTGCAGTATAGATAGGGGAAAATGCATTTTTACAATATGTAAAAGCATGGGCAGGTGAGTGTACGATTTATAGGGAAAGCTGCTACGTCATGACTTGGAAAGTTACCTTCAGTAGACACTGTACTGCACGCTCAGTTATTGTGTCAAACTTCAGAACATTCATTTTCTATTCTAAGGTTCAGCTATAGCCACTGTATCATAATATAGGCTGTGCGTAATTACAAAGCCCCTCTCATAGCATAGAGGTCTTCAGGGACTTACCCGTGGCCAGGTAAATGGGATGATGTTGGGCAGGACTCCATGATTGAATAGCAGTGCGATCAATCTCCTTGAGCTTCATCCTGATAAAAGAAGGCAATTTTTTAATACTACAGGGACACTAGACAAAATGGTACCAAGATAACAGTGAGGAAGTGTACTGCACATGGAGTGCTAGGTATGGCGGGCTTTTGTTGAGAGGAGGATAACATTGAAAATTTAGCTAAGTTCAAAAGAAATGAATACTTCCTAAAGAGACTGAAGGTATCCCAGTTAACTTGGGAAGTACAGCATCACACTTACAGATTGGGAGATGACTTTCTAAGCAACACAGCAGCAGAGAGGGAACTCGGAGTCATAGTTGACTCCAAAATAAACATGAGTCAACAATGTGGCAAAGTGATCAATAAAGCTAATCGCACTTTATCGTGCATTAACAGGTGCATCACAAACAGGTCTAAGGAGGTGATACTTTCTCTCTACGTGGCATTGATAAGGCCGCAGCTAAAGTACTGCATCCAGTTTGGAGCGCCGCACTTCAAGAGGGATGTAGACAACCTTGAGAAGGTCCAGAGGAGGGCTACTCGGATGGTTAGGGACTTGCAGGTAAGGTCCTATGAGGAGAGACGGAGGGACCTGGATCTCTTCAGCCTCCATAATAGAAGGCTGAGAGGTGATCTACTGGCTATCTACAAGTTCGTCAGGGAGAGGACAGCAAGGAATAGGAGATGCTGTCTTTGCCAGGGCGCCCCTTGGAATAACTAGGAACAATAATTAGAGGCAGGTTCTGTTAGACCAACCTGGTGGCCTTCTACAACCAGGTCACCAAATCCTTAGACGCAGGGGTAGCAGTGGACATAGTCTTTCTGAACTTCTGGAAGGCCTTCAACACTCTCTCACCCAGTTCTCATTAAAAAACTGGGGGACTGTGGTGTTGACACCCACAGTCAAATGGGTTGCCAACTGGCTGGAGGGCCGCACCCAGAGAGTGGAGGTGGACGGGTCATTTTCGACCTGGAGGGTTGTGGGCAGTGGGGTCCCTCAGGGCTTGGTCCTCGGGCCTGCGCTGTTCAACTTCTTCCTCACTGACTTGGACGAGGGGATAAATAGCACCCTGTTCAAATTTGCTGATGACACTAACATGTGGGGGGATGTGGGCACACTAGAAGGGAGGAATAGGCTACAATCGGAC